TGAATCCCACCCCTGGCCTACAGGTATTCCTCAGCTTACGACCAGTCTCTTAGTGATTGTTTGAAGTTATGACAGACTTCCCCAGGGCTACTCAGCAACTAACCTATGTTTATGCCCCTTTTCAGTGTCCTGTTGTCACATGACCACAATTTACAATGTTTTTTGCTGGAAACTGGCATTTCTTTCTGGTTTCTGCCCAAAAATGTGCATTGCAGGCAAAGGATTTGCAGAATGACTAAGGCGTTTGCTTAACGACCATGGTGTTCATGACTGCCACAAAAAATATCATAAATCATTAGTTGGAGGAATTTTTAAGGATCACAATGCAGCATGAAATACTGGAGTTTCAGCTTACCTTACCCAAAGTTTGGCGGGAATGGGACAACTTGCCACAGCCAACTTGCTGCGGCCAACTCACCATGACCAATTTGTCACAGCCAACTCATTACAGCCAACTCACTGTGGGCCAACTCGCCATGGCCAACTCCCCACGGGACAATTCACTGCAGGACAATGTAACAATTCTTTTTAATTATTTAAAATAAATAAAAAAATATTTTAATTTTTGCCATTCACATTTTATTCTATTCCTCCCTTTGCATCTTTTCTTTAATGATTCTGTTCCACCATTTCTTTGATATTTTCTTGTCTCACAGCAAGTTGTCCGGTGGCAAGATGACCATGGTGAATTGTTCTGCAGCAAGCTGGCTGTAATGAGTTAGCTGTGGTGAGTTGGCTATGGCGAGTTGGTAATGGCGAATAGTCATAGACACAAGTTTGGGTCACCCAGCTCAAGACTCTCCTCCCTTCCCCATTTGCTAGAGATGTCAGCTCAAGGCTGCCTTAGCAGCAAGCTAGTCCTGAGACGAAAGTTCCCTTCCATCTGAATTCCATTGGAACAGAGAGGTGTACGGAATAAATAGAAAATGTTGAAGATGTGTCCTCAGCAAACAGTAAACTGGCCATCTCAGAGCCAAGGTTGAAAAGCTACGTGGATAGAAGAGAAAAGGTGTGTGTACATACACAAGCTGTTGTCCCTCCTGCTAAAACCTCTCTAGGGTTGTTCAGAGACATTGCTGAATGGGATTCTCCTGCTTACAAGCAATGCTTTTTCTCCTTTAGCTTAAATGTACTGCACCAGCCTCTGGGAAAAGATCCATCAGCCAGTGTCACCTTGCCCAAATAGGGAAAGAGTCTGACTTTGAGACTGTCTGGAAGGGAGAGAAAACACACTTGATTCCAACAAGAAGGAATGTGGACTTCGATGGGACTTAAGAGTATTTACAATTGTTTATAAGAGCTAGTTTAGTGTGGCGGTTGATTCAAGGGAAGAACCAAAGTATTGTATGTATTCAGGACTGATCAGGGCTGCTTCTTTATAATTTAGTCCTGTTTTGTTCTACCTGTATTGTGTTCATGCCATTGTGTGAATTCCAGCCTGAAAGATTAGCTATGAAAGGTGAAGGAGGAGCTTCTATCTTGCAAGACCCAATATTTTTTCCTGTCTTCCATCCTCAATTAGCTGCTTAATCTTGACCTAGATCTGTGATGATGAACCTATGGCATGTGTGCCGGGAGTGGCATGCAGAGCCATCTCTGCCGGCACTTGAGCTGTCACCCCAGCGCAGTGTCATGCCCACGTGTCTCCTGCCAGCCATCTGATTGTGGGGTATCTGCTGTGCATGCGTGTGGGATGGGGCACATGCAGAAGATGTGCATGTATGCACAGGGGATGGAGGAAGCATGGGAGGGTCACACGCACATATGTATGCGCAGGGGGACAGAGGAGCGCAGGGGGTCATGTGGACATGTGCAGGGGTGGGGGGAGCACAGGGAGGAGCATGCACATGCGCACTTTCGGTACGCAATGGCAAAAAGGTTAGCCATCACTGACCTAGATAATAAAAACTTATGGCCTTTTCCGAAATCTGTACTCTCATTCTAACCAGGAATTTTGCCAATCATACAGTCCTGGGTGAGCCCTGGGCTCTCTGCTTGCTACAGGAAAGGGAAAAGGTGTTGCCGCCCCACCCCCCAACCTCCCCCCAGTAAAGCACAGGTAGAAAATTGGTCTCTGAATAAAAGTGTGGGTGACCTCCCCCTCCCTCCAGATTTAGAGGATGGTGACAGTCTGGGATTACTTATTTAAATGCATTTATTTAAATGATTTGCATAGCCATCTGTCCCATAGCTAGGACTCTGGGTCGTGTACAAAAATTAGAATCGAACAATAAAATAACTCAGATAGCAATTGTCAGAGATTGGAAATTATTCACAATTTACAAAACTACAACAACAACATTAAAGCCAATCAACTTCTGAGGGATCATCTAGGGCAGGGGTCTCAAACTTGCGGACTGCAGCCTGAATGCATCCTACACTGGCCAAACCCACCCATTTTAGCAATGGGGGGGGAGTTATGATACATCCCATGACAACACTGTGATGACGCAAGTTTGACACCGCTGATCTAAGGGTTAATCAGGCTTGTTAGTGCTTTGCCTAAGGTTGGTAAGGTCAGAGCTATCTGGATCTCCAGAGGAATGGTGCTCCACAGGACGGGAGCTGCCACAGAGTTATGAGGCAACATCTTAGGATACCCACTTCAGGTAGCCAGCCACTCAGCATGTCTCTGGAAGAATATATGTAAATGCATGCGTCATTAAGAGGGCTTTCCAGAATTTCTCTAAAGTTGTTTATCTGCCCTTCTTCCACAGAATCTTCTAATATAAAATAATATGAAGTAAAGATAACAGGAAGAAGTATTTGGCTAGAACAGCTAGAACAGCTAGAACACCAGGCTAGGACAGTGAGTTCAGGTTCCGCCTTAGACACAAAGCCATCTGGGTCTCTCACTCTCTCTCTCTCTCACCTTCCCTCCATCCCTCCCCCAACCCCCAGGAGGCAGGAAAAGGCAAATCACTTCTGAACAAGTCACTTGGCAAATCACTTTGCCAAGAAAACTGCAGGGGCTTGTCCAGGCAGCTGCCAAGAGTCAAAAACTGACTTAAAAGTGCAGGTGTACACACACACACACACACACAAACCACCCTCTGGGGAAACTCCCCCCCCACTTTTTTATAACCCTCTGCTAAACCCTTAATTTGGGGCTAATCGGTGAGACTGGATAGAGCTAAGCATTTACTGGCCAGATGCCCTTCCCAATTTTTCTGGGAAAAATTGTTCCAGAGTACAGGGAGGCTAGTAGAGTTCTGAAGTGGGCTCTTTCTTTAGGGGAAGCAAGGAAAAATGATTGAAACTGACCAATGCAAGGTAACTGGAAAGTAAGCTGCCAAACCCCTTTTCAACATCCTTATTTTCTGCCATGAGGAAGAACAGGGCTCCCACGTCTGAAGTTGAAGATACATCTCAGAATGTTATTAAAGCATTATGCAAAAACGTTCTCCCATCTCCTGCCCAAAAGTTGAGTTCTGCTTTCCTCTGCTCTCTCTTTTTGGGCAATATAGAGGGAGGCTTTTGGATGAGTGACTCCTAGGAGTCCCAGGGCTGGAAGTTGAAAAAAAAAATATCTGCAAAGAAAGCCACTTCGGTAGTACCATCAAAAAACTGCATGGAAAAACAATTTAAAAAGAGTCAAGGTAGACTCGAAGATGTTCTTATTCCTTTGCAATGTAAATTTAAGAGTCAGTCACAACTGTCAAGTTTGTCTAAGTTTGGAGAAAGTGTGCACCGATTCTGTTTCATTAAAGATGATTAAAGATGAGACGCTTGTGAACTCTAGTGGAGAAGTCCAGCGGCTACAAGGGCAGGGAAGTAATTCACTTAGTACAGATGGACTGTTCCTTGGCAAGCCTTGACAATAACAACAAAGTTCCTTCCACAACTTTACTACTCAAGGCAGGCAGCCTCTCTGATGATAAAGAGCTGGGAAATGGAATTCTCTTCAGCCCACCATTAGAAGTGCGCTCAGATAGTTAGACCCTAGAATAGATTAAAGAGAGAATTGGATGGATTGTGGCTTTAATTGTAAATAGAATATCATGTCATTTGTCCTTCTGCCCCTGCCCCTTTCCATTTGTGTGCTTTATCATTGCTGCTACGTATTGTCTTAAAAAGGAGAAAAAGAAACGGAAACGTTTCGAAAGTAAACGAATGCTTAATCTTAACAGAAGCCGCTTTGCATTTTAAAAGTCACTTAACTTTTAGGAAGAAGTGCACAATCGTGCCTACAGTCCCTGTCCGATTGTCCCCATTTATTCGTACTTATTTCCTGTATTCTTACTCATGTTTATCCTTATTCCTACTATCTTGCAAGCGATTGACAAATCAAATCAATCAATAAATAAGATGGACCACCACTATAACAATGCAAAGTGTTCTTTGTTTTTAGAGCACATTGTATAAACAAAGCCAAAGCGGGTCTGCCAGTGATTTGCGGCTTCCAGTGTTGTACAGATATAATATCACACGTGGTTATTACCAAGTAAATGGTTTTGGATTGCAACCGGAGGGCAAGAACAGACTAATAATATTCGCGAGCGCTATGATCACTTTATTCCAAACAGGACGCGTCGTTTTCTTGGGTTAAAGATCAAGGCATTAGACCAAGGGTTTTCAAACTTGACAAATTTTAAGACTTGTGGACTTCAACTCCCAGAATTCCTGACCTAACATGACTGGAGGAGAAATTCTGGGAGTTGAAGTCCACAAGTCTTTAAAGCTGTCAAGTTTGAAGACCCCTGCATTAGACGAACATTGGCTGGCAAAATAAACACTGATTTCGCTGCACCCTTCACATGAACAGTAGTCCCCTCCCACGCAAGTTCTCTACGGGCTTCTTTTTCGAAGTAGAATCCTTCATAAGATCATCGAAGCACAGCTGATTTAAAGTACCGTAAAGGGAGTGGAATATGTTGGCGTATACATAAGCTCATATTTCTATTGCTCCTTTTCCGCCCTGCTTGCATTGTGGGAATAGTAGTTTAATCGCCTGCTTGCCCCACAGTAAAGAACTACACTTCCCGTCTTCCACGTGCGAGAACTGCGGTTTAATCTGGACCATCGGTCTGTACACCAAGAACCTGCAGCGAGGGAATCTCTCGCGCATAGTAAGCGCGGGAAACGTTCCCCGTTCAGAAAGCAGAGGGACGCTGAAACGGAGCCAATGGATTAAGAGAGCGAGGTAAGGCAGAGGCAGGCCCGTCGGGGAAGCTGGCGGAGAATATCCACGGGGCTCCAGGAAGCCGCAGGACAGCGAAATGTCTTATGTTATTTATCTTCCTAAGAAGGTTATTTATCTTCTTAAGAAGGGAAGGAGGGAGGCTGCGTGGGAATGGTGATCACCTGCTGTGTACCGGGTACAGAATAACGAGGTGCACTTTCACTAAGTGGTGCACAACACGTGCATTGGACTATAGTGCACAACATGTGCATATGGATTTAGTTCAGGGCTCTTCAAACTTGACAGCTTTAAGACTTGTGGACTTCAACTCCAGAATTTCTCCTCCAGTCATGTTAGCTTAGGAATTCTGGGAATTGAAGTCCACAAGTCTTAAACTTGCCAAGTTTGAAGACCCTTGATTTGGTTTGTCACATTTGCACTCCCCGCTAATTATTCATTACTTCTGTGATAAAGAAGATAAAGAGAACAGAAGCATCTATCTGGTCCTAAGTGCACACCGGTAATCTTATTGGGAAGCGAAGATTAGAAAAGGGCAAGTGATTGTATTCAAAGTTTTATCTTATTTGGGAGGTGGGAGCTTATGAATTAAAAACATTTTTGTTTAATTATCCATTGATGTCTCTTACATTTTTAAAGGTGGATAAAAATAGTATATTAAAGGCAACTAAATTGGAATGATAAAAATAATTAGGCATCTTTCAACAGTTATTCAATACAGCAAATTCAGCTAAGGCCCCACTTCATCAAATGTAGCTAACGTTATATTTTAAGGACACTTAATAACAAAATAATACATGCATTTAAGAGCCATTCATGGTTGAAAAACCTAGTTGAATTAGGAGGCTTTAGCCTTTCTAGAGTCTAGAAAACCTGAAAATGTCCATACTTGTAACAGTGTGAAACATGTTTTCACAAAGTAGATTACATTTCATAAGATTTATTCCTTCTTAAGTTTAAAATTGTGTTTTCAGATTATTGGATTGTAGTTGCAGTATATGTCAACATGTCTGATAAAGTTATAATACATATTTAGTCATTGGGTTGTCACGTGATCTATTTTTGCTGCAACAGGCTATTTTGTCTACCGATCTGTGTGCTCTGTTGGAAAAAGACCAGAATGAGTGTTCACTGTGCAGTCTTTTCTACAGAATGAGGAAGACTAATACTGATGTGTTTTGTGATTTTGGACAATAATACACAGTAGCATATATGGCCCAGTCAGGAGACAGATAAGACCCGCTGGTGTAGATTTATTGGCACATGATAATGCTAGCATGCATATGGACAGTAGGAAGACCTCCAGATGTTAATATATTTCAAATCTCTCAGTATCTCATCATTGATCCTGCTAAATCAGGAAAATGGGAGTTACAGTTCAATAACTTCTAGAGTCACATGTGTTTACCTTTGTGCTAGAAAATTGTTGGACTGAGACAAAGGTGGAGAGTCCTGTCTTAAATAGGTTGAGGCAAGGTTTGTGGTTAAGAAGGCAAGGCCAAGTTAAAATATTAATACCCGTCTTTAATGGTGTGTGATTTTTTTTCTTTTATTGCCATAAATACCTTAGATTTGAATTCTGACTGAGCAAAATTCATATCTTTGTTGCAAGAGGCATAGGGTGCAAGCAATCACTCATAATTGCTACTTACTAGGATTAATTGGGGTTAATCCACTTCTAATCACTAGTTGACTGTTGCCTTTGTGTTTATTACTTTCCAGAAGGTGCCCCATAAACCTTATCTAGCTGTCTGGTTCCTGGCTGGGTTTCTGTACATGTTCACTGGGCAGAGATTATTTAACTGTTTATTTCAGATATTTAAACTAAAAATCCTGTAGGACGAATGACACAATTCTGAATCTGGCAAAAAAGTTAACAGGGAATGGGGAGCTGATTTCCAGGATAGAGTTTATGAACTATGGTTATAGAAGAAAGGAAACTAAAAAAATGGAATTACATGGGATTGTAATTATAGAGAAAAAAACAATTTGAAAGTGAAAAATAACTTACCAACACTTAAGATATGAACTTCCAGATGAAATATGGCGAACTAAATTGACAAAACAAAGATCTTGTATGTTATGGGAAAACAAATTTTATTATTTAAGCAATTTTAGGGACATCTGAAAGGGTGGGGACTCAGAAAAGTCAAAATGACAGCTGTGACTGCTACCTTAATGCCTTGTCATATTTTCTGTGTACAGGTACTCCTCAACTTACAACCACAACTGAATCCAAAATTTCAGTTGCTAAGCAAGGAACGGAGCCATGTTATTAAGGAGCCGTGCCCCATTTTATGACCTTTCTGCCATGATTGTTAAGCGAATCACTACAGCTAAGTGAATCATGCGGTTGTTAAGCAAATCTGGCTTCCCTCATTAACTTTGTTTATCAAAAGTTTCCTAGGAAGGTTGCAAATGACAATCCCAGAACCCTGGGATGCTGCAACTATTGTGAATGCATCCTGGTTGCCCAGTACCTGAAGTTTGATCACATGACTATGGGGTGCAGCAATGGTTATACTTGTGAGACCTGGTCATGTCACTTTTTTCACTGCTGTTTTAACTGAACGGACATTAAACGAATAGTTGTAAGTTGAAATCTCGAAGACTACCTGTATCATATCTGTGATACACATAAAGGAGTGCCATCATTATTTTTTTACTTACACTTTATTTTTTATTTTTTATTTTTTATTTTTTTACACATACACTTCAGCAAAATGCTGGCCCAGGCACAGGAAGCAGCTCTAATTGTTTAACACATTATAATGGAAAAGAAAATCCAAATAATCAAAACAGGTAGCCAGAGAAACAGTAATAAAACCAGGGGTGGGGTTCAAATTTTTAACAACCAGTTCTGTGGGTGTGGCTTAGATGATGGGCATGGCTTGGTCATGTGACTGGATGTGCCTTGGTCATGTTATTGGCTGGGCGTGGCCAACTCAATATCAATCACATTGAGGCACGCATCTCCTCGCCTGGCCTCTCATGAGGATCCTGCAACAGTTGTAAGTGTGAAAAAAGGTCATAAATCACTTTTTTCAGTGCCATTGTGACTTTGAATGGTCACTCCACACAAGCAAAGTACCAGCAAAGGAGGGGGGAAAAAACTCCAGAGAAGTTCCAGAGACAGGAAGTCCAGTCCTGCCAAGAATGTAATAAGTGTTAACGGAGAGGCAGTTTCTGTAAGCAACACCAGAATGTTTCCTTCCTGCCTTCCTTACAGGATTAGGCCAGTAATTTCTTCTAACAACCGGTCCTCCAAACTGCTTAGAATGTTAACAACCGGTTCTAGCGAATAGATGCGAACTGGTAGAATCCTACCCCTGAATAAAACCCTAAAAACACTTCAGGGAAAAACCAAATCAAACTCAATTGCAATCATAACATCCATTGCATTACATGAAAATAGCTTATACCCAGTGGTGAGTTTCCAAATTTTTTCCTACTGGTTTGGAGACGTGCTTCGTGCCTTTGCGTGCAGGGCTCAAAGACCTCCCTCTGTATCAACACTGGTGAGCTGTGAATGAAATCAGTAACAAACTGGCATTCAAAACAGTGAATTTGTGTGCTCTGGAAAAACAAATTTCATACATCAAGTGCATCAAGCTAGGGTAACTAAGCTATAGTGACTGCCAGCATAGAAGGGCCATTGAATTGCCCTGCTTGATTGTTTGCAAAATGTAACTTGTGTGGATTACAAATTGAGGTAGGATAAACATTTTGTTTAAATCTATTTTTAAGGACCTATTTTCTGAGTGCTCTGCATTAATGGAAGTGAGTAACTCAGTTACTCCGAGAGTTAAAAGTTCAGCCGAGAGTTAAAAGTTCAGCTGGAAGTTAATGGTTCAGTTATCAATTTAGGATATAGTTCTTATCCTTTTGAGAAAGTGTTTCCTGATATATGCATGTTGGTTCTGAGTCTCCATGTGCCTTCATGTGTATTTGGCTGGAGAAAGACCAAGTGCCTTCATTTCAAATACATAAAACACTCATTATTTTAATTTTACAGCAATATGGAATTTTTCATTTAACTTAGAACAACATAATTGGACAACATTCAAATTTATCCATACTACAGAATACATTCATAAGAATCAATGAAGCTTGTTAGTCATGAAAAACTCAGACCTGTTGATTCCAGTAGGGCACTATCAAGTACCTCATTATTTTTATTTAAAGCCTGTTTTAATGGCTATTGAAGGAGACCAGTTCTTTGTCCTCTAAAGAAAAGTGACCTAAAAAGATTAACAATATATTTTGGAGCATATTTGCTCTGCTTTTATAAGTGCATTGAGTTTGTTTAACCCATGGAGGTTGGCATAGGATTTCAGACTAGGATGAAAATCCTGCACTTGTTTACCTTGGCATCAAGCCTCATTTATCTCAGTTAATGGTGAGTATGTAATGTAAACACTCCTTCAGGTCAAAGTCAGCCTCTGGAGATTTCATATAAGTGATGTCTGTCTCTAGCATTCTTGGAAACAGTATAGAAGTTGGTTTACCAGTGATTCCTGCTGAAATGTTTTGAAAACTTCCCAAATCCTGCTATTTCCTAGTGCAAGGGTCTTCAAACTTAGCAAGTTTAAGACTTGTGGACTTCAACTCCAAGAATTCCTAAGCTAACATGACTGGGGGAGGAATTCTGGGAGTTGAAGTCCACAAGTCTTAAAGCTGCCAAATTTGAAGACCCCTGTCCTAGTGGTTCCTCTTCCATGTATTAAGCAAGCCTAACTTTGGTTAGCTCTGCGAGCCAAAATCTAGTTGGGTGTTTATTACAAAACTTTACTAATAAGACAGCATAAAGTTTGTATGTGTTGGTATCTTCTTTCACATATAACTCAATGTCTACGGAGATTCTTAGTCATCCAGGTTGTGGTTGCCTCAAAGATGCTTTTTCAAAAGGCAACTGGACTTCATTTTCTCCTTAAGGAAGATGTTTCGCTCCTCATCCAAGAAGGTTTTTTGGTTCAGTAGAATGAGGGGGGGAGGATTTATAT